GCTTGTCGATTGGAGTCACTGGAGGTCCGTCGTACATCATCTTCGACTCATCCACGTTTGAAATCACCCGCCGTCGCTGGTGGTCTAGCTCGCCGCCGCTGGGAGTTCATTAGCCCGCCAATTGGTTCGTCGCTGGAGGGAGATCGATTCCAGAGCTCGCGGATCATTTTTCGTCTGGAGACCAATCGCAGGAGATTGCTGGACGTGACAGAAAGGCTGTGTTTGTCTCGTTTCATCCTTGTTCGTCGCAGGGAGCTGACCCAGAAGTGAGGTCGGTCATTGCTGAGTTCAATCCGCCGCTGAAGCTTGTAGGAACGAGTTTTGGGCTTGAAGAATTGGGTTGTTGGACTGCTGGAAACCTAGCTGCCGAGGTTTGAGGCAGAAACCTTCACGCTGGAACTGGACGCAGAAAGCAGGAAAAAGGAACGCAGGGCTGAGAACTTGCTGGATTCTGGGCTGCTCAACTATTTCGCTGGACCTTGGACTGCTGGGTTGCTTGTAGGCCGCTGGGTTACTGAACAAAGCTGGAGTGGGCTGCTGATTTGGAGCTGGAAATTGGACTGGTCAACCAGTCAACAAAATTCAAAATTCCGAAAAAATCCAATTTTCTTTGGGTGGGTAAGGTCGAAATGCCTCTCCTAGGGTTTCGCTCCGGTATATTGACTTTTATCCCTTTTATCGCTTTTGTAGTGATTTAATCTTTTATTGTGTAGAAATGATATTTTAGGTTTATTACTGCTGTTAAAATTGATTAAATTGTAGTATTGTGTTGTGCTGAAAATTTATTATTTATTTGTGCTTATACGGAAGGACAAGGGGTTTGAAGTTGAGTTTGGTGCTCATTAATACTCCCCGCGTGTTCGTGCTAGTTGCTCCGTATAGTTGTAGCCTTATGAATATTTAAATTGTTTTTCAGCAAAATTTACATTTTCTTTTGTTGCTTATTTTTCTCTGTGAAAATGTCTGCTTATAATCAGTATGGTATGGCTCCATTTAATGGAAAATCCGATTTTAGCATTTGGAAGCAAAAAATTAAATGTATTTTAATACAACAAAAATGTTTTAAAGCAGTTGGCGAAACCTATTTAATTTCTGACATAGAAGATAAAAGGGCTGAAATGAATGAAAATGCATGTTCTGTGATTTATTTGAACTTATCTGACTCTGTGATTAGAAAAGTTGGAATTTTAGAGAGTGCTAAAATTTTGTGGGATAAATTGAATGAATTGTATACTGAGACCTTTTTGCCTAACCGGATGTTTTTACTTGAAAAGTTCTTCAAATTTAGACTAGATATGTCTATAGATATTGAAGAAAATCTAGATGTTTTTACCAAACTTATTTCGGATATTAAGTTGTGTGGTGACAAGCATATAGATGATTATTCCCCTATTGCTCTTTTAAATGTTATTCCTGATTCCTTTGGTGATGTGAAATCTGCTATTAAGTATGGTAGAGATAATGTGACTCTTGACATTGTGGTTAATGGTCTTAAGAGTAAGGCATTAGATTTAAAACAGATGGGTGAGGGTAGAAAATCCGAGGAAGTTATGCATGTGAGGGGTAGAGAAAATAATAGTAGACGACATAGATCTAAGTCTAGGACTAATTCGAGGCATTGCTATTATTGTCATGAACCTGGTCATTTCATAAGAGACTGTCCTAAATCTAGGAAAAATGAGCATAGTGAGCATGCTAATTTGACTACGTGTGAAGATGATTTAGGTGATGTTTTTATGACAAATCTATGTAATTATGACTACTTGAGTTCTGTGATATCTAATTATTTGGGTAAATCAGATTGGGTGGTAGATTCTGGTTGTACTTTTCATATGTCCCCTTTGAAGAATGTTTTTTCAAACTATAGAGAGATTGAGCATGGCTTTGTGTCTTTAGCAAATAAGAAGAAATGCAATGTGCTAGGAATAAGAGATGTGTGCCTTAGGTTCTCTTCTGGTTATGTGCTTACTTTGAAGAATGTTAGGCATGTTCCTGAGCTATGCTGTAATTTGTTATCTTGTGTTTCTCTTGAAAATGAGGGTTTGAAGGGAAAATGGGGAAAGGGAATGAAAGTTGTGAAGGGTTGTTTAGTTGTTTTCAAAGCTGAGATGAAAAACAACTTGTATGTTTGTCATGCTGAACCCCTACTGAATTGTGTGCAACCTTGTGTGCTAGGAAAACAGTCTAGAGTTGGTTTTCCTGATCTGTCTAAGTGTACTAATGTGCTTGATTGTATTCATGCTGACTTGTGGGGTCCTTATAGTGTTTCCACTCATGGTGGGAAAAATTATTTTCTGACGTTGATTGATGATTTTTCAAAGAAAGTGTGGGTTTTGATAAGTTTAAAAACTGGAAAACCCTTGTTGAAAAAAAAACAGTAAGAAAGGTAATTTCTTAAGGACCACTGTCAGTCTTGATTTCTGTGATGATCAGCTTAGTGATTTATGTGATACTTGGGGTATTTCTATGCATAAATCTGTTCCCTCCACACCCCAACCGGATGGGGTTGCTGAGAGGATGGTTAGAACTTTATTAGAGAGGGTGAGGGCTTTGTTAGCTTCATTTGGGCTCTCTAATAAGTTCTGGGGGGAAGCTATTTGTGCTGTTGATGTGGTTAATCTGTCCCCGTCTGTTCCCTTAGGAAGGAAATGCTCTGAATCTGTGTTCATGGGCAGACCACTTAACTTGCCAAATTTGAGCGTGTTTGGTTGTGCTGCTTACTTGAATCGTGTGAATGATAAATCTGAACCTAGGACTAAGGAATATGTTTTCTTAGGATATCATGGATGCATGAAAGGTTATAGGCTTTGGTGTAGGAGTGAAACTTGCTTCAATGTGTTGATGAGTAGAAATGTCATTTTTGTTGAAAATGAATTTCTTTGCCTGCTTGTTTCTCCTGATGTTGCTCCAAATGAGGTGGAGCATTTGCCTGTTGAAGTTCATTCTGATTTGCTTGTTGAAACTGAACCCAAATTTGTGGATGAAAATGATTTTCATGGTGAAAATAAAGAAAATAATATTTCTATTAAGGTGGAGCATGATATGAATGTTGTGTGCAATATGCTTGAGTTGCGTGATTGCCATGTTATTAGAGATAGAGACATTAGGAAGCATGTGAGAAATAATATGTGCAATGTGTTTGACTATATTTCCTCTGAGTTTGCTTTAAATGTCTTTAATTCTCTTTTAATTAAAATCTTTGTGATATTTGGTATGCTATTTTCTTTGTGTTTAGAATCTGCCTATGCTAGTTATAGAAATAATATTGTTTCTTTTATTTTCTTTATACTTGCTTTGTGTGGTTGTTGGATTAGTTGGAATCCCCAACTTCTCCCGGATGCTTGCTTGCGTGGTCTATTAACATGTGTTGTGCTTGTTAATAGTTTTGTGATGGTTTTGGTTCTGAACTCGAGGACCGATTGGTAGAGTTCAGTCCATCGTGAATTGGGTTTGCATGGTAAGCTTGGTCCGAAAGGGAACTTTGGTTCGCATCTATTACTTGTATGATCGCAATGATGTACTTGTAATGGTCTGGCGATGATGAGTCTCCTCACAACCTTGTATTGTTACTCTACACCACTTAGGACCAATAAGGTGGAGAATGTTGGAGGTATTGGTCCTACCAAGGCCTCCCTTTCATTTTATTATTGACTTGCACCCTATGTTTACTCCCACTTTGATACCTTCTTTTGAATCTCTCCTAACCAATAATAGGGCCATTTTGACTTATGTGGAGTGACCCCAAATGAGCTGTCTGCTGCCTCCTCCTTTGTCTCTGTTTCACCCGTGAGTGTCCTTTAGTGTTGGCCAGTCTATTATTTAGCAACTCTCTTCTTCCTTGTGAGCTTGTCCTGCGTGAGAGAAAATCCAGAGAGCAGACCCCTTCTCCTTTCCTTTGTGTGTAAGTTGAGAGAGGTACCTTAGTGGTGGAGATAAAACATGTGTTGTGTTATGGTCTAGCCTAGGGTGGTGTATGTGAGCCTATTGTGGAGGTTGGAGACCTGAGCCAGAAAAGATCGATCCTCAACACGCGCATTAATATATATATATATATATATAGGAATGATCGTGTCCAGCAATTTACTGTCCGAACAATGTCCGAACTTGGTCATTTGGGGCACTTCCCAGTGGAATTTTTTAATGAAATTTATTGAGCATGTTCCTCACCAAGTCTAGTTTGTCCATACCAAATTTCAGCTCAAAATTCGATCGGAAAGGCAGTCAAATCATTTTTTTTAAGTTGACTGCGCCAAAATATACATATAAAAACGCAGTCAACTTCAAAAAATGATTTAAATGCCTTCCCAATCGAATTTTGAGCTGAAATTTGGTGTGGACAAACTAGACTTGGTGAGGAACATGCTCAAAAAAATTCATCAAAAGATTCCACCGGGAAGGACCCCAAATGGCCATGTTCGGACGGAGGCTCCTGTCCGAACGTGGGGACCTGAACATTTCCGTATATATATATATATATATATATATATATATATATATATATATATATATATATATATATATATATATATATATATATATATATATATATATATATATATATATATATATATATATATATATATATATATATATATATATATATATACTTTTATTATTAAACATTAAAGTTAAACTTTTAGTAGTGGACTCTCTATTTAAAAGTTTAACTATAGAAATGTACTCTTGTAAAGAGCAACCAAATAAAAGAGATTTATTCACACTACTAGAATTTTTATCATTTGCTGCTGCTTAATTGCTGCGGTTATTGAGCAACCGCAACAATAACATTAAAATTTTGAAGTATTTGCAGCGGTTATATGACAACCGTAGCAACTATTGTACAAAAATTAGTTATTTGCGGCGGAATTCAACCAACCGCAGCAGTTGCGTTGGAAATATGCATTATTTGATGCGGTCATAGTTCAACCGCAGCTCTTGGGACTAAACATCTAGTACATGTACCAGTCTAACATACTCCATATATTATCTATCCTTATAGACAAACCTTGACCTAAATTCCAAAAATCCCTATCTACTCCCCCATTAGCAAAGCATCGGTGCCGCTCCTCCCCGTCAAAGATGCAAACTGCCGACCCTCCACCAACTGAAAGCAGGAATCTGCCGCAAGCCACGCTCCACTCAATGGAAGCAACAATCTGCCGCTGCCGCTTCACCTTTAGACCTGCCTACAGCCTACTCGCCGCTGCTGCTCCGCCTTATGCCTACTCGCCGCTGCTCCTCCGCCTTCTGCCTACTCGCCGCTGCTCCGCCTTCTGCCTACTAGCCGCCGCTCCTCTGCCTCCTGCTTACTCGTCGCCGCTCCTCCGCCTGCCTTCCTCCCGCTCCTTAGGTATATTTCTCAGTTCTTTTATCATTACAGTTAGTTTATTTTAATGATTCTAATTTTATGAAAGTTAATAATATATTTGTATAAATTTATAAAATTCGTATTGATGTGTATGTTTATGTGAAGCTCGTGAATATAAATCCAACTCCCGAGAGCAAAGATCTGGATAATCCGGTGTTTCTGGTTTGGTAATACGGAGTATATGTATATATACCACCAACTCAGGTTCTTTGATGTTTCTCGTTTCGTTTTAAGAAATTCAAATCTTGCGTTTGTTTATCTGAATTCTAAAATCGTAATTAGCTTAATATGTACTCTAGATCTTTACTTTCTGAATAGTTAGCTGCTTTGTGATGTCCTAGTAGATCTACTGCAAGTGTTAAATTTATAAAAGGGGTGATTTTCTTATTCTTTCTCTGTCCTTTATTTTTTCCTAATTAGTTGTGAGTTGTAGGAGTGAATGATTATCATTTTCAACTTTACCTAGTAAGAAAATTTAATTTGAGAAAACATCTAAATAAATTAGATTCAATTTCTTGGGCTACTCATTATAAACTTATTACTACGTATATCATTAATTTAATGATATACTTGTTGCTCACTATCAACTAAAGTGAGCATGTACTAATTGGTTTTTTTTTATGTTAAGTTTCAGGTTTACCAGAACGCCATAAAAGATGAGGCATCATCAATGAATGAAATTGCTAAACTCCTGAATACATGAGCCGATATATGTTTGTGATGATTTATTGTATCTCTGTACATACATCAATAATGTATCTTTTGGGATGATTATAACTTTTGTTGTATTGATTGTGTAACTTTTTTTAATATTTGATAAGTGATATTGTTGGAAATAGTTTTTTTAATACATATGGAGTATTTTGTTTTACTGTAAAAGATGCTAAATTGTACATTTTGAGTGTTGATGATTGATGTTGCCGTCAGATATAAAGGTTAAAGGGTTGTCCAAAACGGAGGAATGAAATTAATTTCACACATTTATTTGCTGCGGTCATTAGGACACGCCGCAATATGTTTTTTAAAAAGAAAAACGAAATGCCTATTTGATGCGGTTGCTGACCGCAGCAAATAACTAAATCTACATTTTGCCCCTTCAATTGCTGCGGTTCTGAACCGCAGCAATAAGCTTAAAATAACCGCAGCAAATAGCCTTTTTTCTAGTAGTGTCACGTTTTTTAGATGATTAAAAACAGACATATTATCATAAGTAGGAACTAGAAAGTCTCCTTTCACATTTATTGTCTCCTGGTTTACTCTGTTTTTATTGAGCAAAAGATAAGAGAACAGATTTGTCATTTGTCTAGTGAGGAAATTATTTATTTCACAAGTATGCAAACATCTACACGTGACAGTGTGACACTAATACACTTCTTTGAGTACTCTTTGATTATTTGACACAAGGGGAATTACCAAAACATAGATATTCTTAATTAGGCCAGTAGGAAGCCTAGGATTAATAATTTTTATTTTATGCATTTTTACGTAAACTACATGCCGGCATACACAAATACAATATACCCAAGAAGGCCAAGATCATAAAGAAGACTTAAGTGACATATTATTTGGAAGTTCACGAATACCAAATATATGGGTTTCCATAACCAAAAACATACAGTGTACATCGCCTCCGCCATTATTTTAGACCTTGCCTGATATGTAATAAGACGCCAATGGCAAATCCTGCAAGAAACGAGAGGGTTTCAAAATTTGCAAGTATTTGGAAGATATATATCACTGACATCCCTAGAAATTTGATGTATTATCACCTATGCAGGGTGGATCCGACGTGGGGGCAGGGGGCACCTGCCCCCACTCAACCCCACCCTACTCCTATAAATACATATCACGTAAGTACGTATATATTTAGTCTACAATTATATATTTTTTGTGCTGAATATAAAGGTCTTTTAAAGAAAGTATAGTGTTTGTAAACAAGATGATGTTCGGCCCAATGGTTGATGTACTCCGTGTGTGTAATAGCTAGTTCCTAGGTTAAGGTCCGAATCCCTGATCTACCTTTTCTCCTCATCTTTTCATTTTGGCCCTTTTTGAAGATTTAGAATGGATTTTAAGTGGTTGTTTCTAATTTGTTACAATTTTAGTTTCACATATATTTTGTAATGTTCAACCATGACATTTTTGCAATTAATATAAACTATTTTCTATATATACTTATATATCCACAACCTCAATGAATTCTAAATACATCCCTCCCTTATATGATTCATTATTTACTAACATGATTTCAAATAAAATAAAAATTTTATGACATGTTTGTTGTTGATAGAGTAAAATTTATTAAGTATGATATCATAATATTTTTGTCAACCAAATATTTTGTTATTTGTAGATAATTTTACAATATTTTTTTTATTTGTTTCACTATTTGTGACATTTCCGAGATAATAATTTTTTAGTACAAGTTCTCCCCCCCCCCCCCCCCCACACGAATATTTCTGGATACGCCACTGCCTATATGTCACTTAAGAACTACATTCTTACCTCTGTCCTATATAACAAAGGTTACATTTATGTTTAGATGAAATTATAGAGTATCGTTCCCGTCAGAAGCTCCAGACCAAAACTAACATACGGAATCCGCCGTTTGAGGTAATTTCCGATGGAATGACTTTATGAAATTATGTGAGAATGTTCTTCATGAGGTGTTAATTATTTACATAAAATTTCAGTTTAAAATTCAATCAGAAAGTTACTTAAATAAATTATTAGAAACAACTGCGCATTTTATATATATAAAAAATGTAGTTCGTTTCAATAATTTATGTAGTATTTAACTGATTTCTCGACTTCGATAAAGTGAGAGTTGTGTAGTGGATAATTGTGAAGAAGGGAGAGAAATGTGTAAGAATTATTATGAACAACAAATTATTTACTAAATAGGAAAAAAGAAGATTATTTTGAGACAGGTGAAAAAAGAAAGTTGGAAAATAATTCAGAAACAAAAGGAATATCAGATTTGATATGTTTGTAGTTCACTGGTTCATTTTTTAATTTGACTATCTCTCAACTTGTTCAATCTAATTTTAACACACATGTGTCTTAAATATGGGGTCAAATGTATAAATAGTACCTTAAATATCTGTAATGTTACATTTTGGTACCTTGACTCTTAAATGAATCAAAAGAGTACCTTGTCTATATATAAATGTTTCGAATTGAGATTTTATTCAAATTTCCGACCAAAAAATCACACGCTACGACCAGAATTTTTTGCGTAAAGTCTACTTCACCTTATTTTTGTCCATATGATCACAATAGTGTTACCCTACACATGAAATTTTGATCGTCTTGAAGGTTTTTTGATCGGAAATTTGAATAAAATATTAATTCAAAACATTTATGTATAGTTAAGGTACCGTTTTGATTCATTTAAGAGTTAAGATACCAAAATGCAACATTATCAATATGTCTCAAATAAACCACCTTAAAATGTCTTGGTTCCAACTTATTGTAGACAGATCAGATCAGATAAATGGCAAGTAAAGAACAATGAAAAGATTGGAGAGGTTACATTTGGGATCAGTTGGGAAGAATCTTCCAGCGTTGGTTATCTCCTTTAGTCCATTCCCAAAGAACAATGGGAGTCCCATCACGTACACCCCCGTGCTGTTTGTCGCCATGGAAGGCATCCATGTTGAGGCGAATGTTGTTCACCATCCTAATCGTCTTGTAGTCCTCCCCTGTGTTCTTGCTCTCACTCCACATTATAGATTCATCAAGGATGTCAGGGTTGTATGGAACCAGCCGCACCTTATTCATCATCACCAACCAATGTATTAGTTAGCATGTTTATTTTGGAGTCTCAAACTAGGATAGACTAAATCAGATCACACCAGAATCCGAGAGTAGTAATATACACATAGAACATACATCTATTGGACCAGAACAAACCAGACTTAAATGGACCAACCAGATCGAACCAGACCAAACCAGCAAAACATACTCAATGAGGCAACTCTTAGTGCTTCATCTTTGAATAATTAATCTAAAATCTATTATTAACTTAGAATCTATGAAACTTCATACAGTAGTTTTGTCAAAATAACTTTCTATCTTATATTTTCAAAAACCAATAGTTAGTTCCCGAAGTTGATTATCTAATCTATGTATAATTTAAACATTATCTATTGTAAGGTGCTTTGGCCTCAAAACAAAAAAAATCTGATTTACTAATACTCCGCCCCGCACCCTAGCTTGTTTTCACTTTGGCGCACACATTCTTATCATCATAATCGTTACCCCAGTGCCCCAAAGTCTCCCACCCTCACTCACACACATTCTTATGCAAAAGAAAAACTCACAAGGCTTTCTCTCCCCATACTATGAGAAATTAATCAAGGAAGAAGTAAGGGTAATTATAATACTGACATTTACTTGTTAAAAAAAATCCTTTGATGCAAGTGGAAACTCCATTTTGGGACATCTAAATAAGAAAAAGTATGATCATGGTTTCGAGACGGATGTAGACATGTAGACATGTAGTAAGTTATAAATTCATGCTTGGCCACTTGGTATAAAATTTTCAAACTTTGCATCCCAGTGCAGTACATTTCTGGCCGGCTACATCACTTTGTATGTGTCTATATTTTTGGAAGAAACACAACTAGCTTTTATTCATCAAATCATACTTTAGAGAGGACAGAATACAAATGAGGATCAATGTGCCAAACATGACAATCATTATTTAATTTTCAACACAGCAAAATGACCACAAAGGAATAGAACTAAACCAATTATTTTATTAATTACATGCATCATATATTACTTTTGTCAATTATTCAAACTATGCTATTGGCATGAATGTTGCACATGTTATAAACATCATATAATGATTAGATACATCTGTTGTGAATTATTTGTGAACATTGGTGTCGGACATACATTTTGGTCGTTAATGTTAGGACCATCAAATGTTACATTTATTTTTTTGGGGGTTTTGTTGACATTAGATATCAATGTAACATGCACTGCCAAAACTACTAATGTGATTTGATGTTATCAAGGTGCTTATCTTATCAGGTTGTTTTTGCTATATACTCCGTATTGCACATGTGCTCTATCTTTCAAGCTGTCCAATTATTCAGTTTGTTGCAATATGATTAATTTTCCTGTGACCAATATACTATCATCGGTAGACAAAATACGACACCCAACATACATGACCAATATAGGATTTGTATTACATTTTGCAAATAGTTTATAATAGGTGACCCAGAGTTTCAAGATAATTTTGTTGGATCCTATAGGATCAATATAGGATTTGGTGTTTGGATATACTTCTCAAAGCTGAATTTACTCCTTCAAGAAACAGAAGCACATATTGAAGTGTTTGAACGAAAGAGCATGTGTACTTCTTGAAGCAATTTTTAAAAATTGGAGAAGACCATCTTCTAAAAACTGATTCTAATTCTATGTATGCTTTTGAAAAAGAAGATCAGAATCAATTTCAATTCATATAAAAGGCACATTTGCGTCCCAATATAAAAGGCACATTTGCGTTTCTAGACATTTGTTCTACAATTGCATGTAGAATAAATTAAGAGAGATCTAATTTGTTTAGGACACATTCACACACACTTAATCGTTCGCTAAGAGAAAACACACATCAATTTTTGGCGCCGTTGCCGGGGACGGTGTCGGTTTTAAGGGTTAATTAATTTCAGCGAGATTTTTTTCAGTTAGTTTTATTTTTGTTTTCCGTAGGATTTTTTTTAGTTAGTTTTATTTTTGTTTTCCGTAGGATTGTTTTCAGCGAGATGTTCTTATCACTCCCTCCGTCCCAATATAAAAGGCACATTTGCGTTTCTAGACATTTTAAGGGTGAACACTGTTTGAACACTGTTTGAACACTGTTTGACACTGTTTAGACACTGTTTGGCACTGTTTGGACACTGTTTGGCACTGTTTTGTACTGTTTTGCACTGCTTTGTTTGCCAAAAAGGGAAATGTGCCTTTTATATTGGGACGGATCGAAAAGGAAAGTGTGCCTTTTATATTGGGACGGAGGGAGTATATGTCATCACTTTTATAGAAATGCACTTCGATATTTACGGGCTTTCCCAATATGTATATTCTATTTTCTCAAAAAAAACGTATATTCTATTAACATTGTAGAATTAATAGTGTCCTCTGACAACCCGTTTTTTGCTCAACTTTTTACAATGGAATGATGTATTAGTGCCCATTTGGTAATACCCAAATGCACTGTATTGATTGATTTTGCTTCAAAATTTATGAAATTCTGGCTGAAGTGGTTGAATTGGCTGATTCTGCTGATTTATGCAAAAATTAAATTTATGCGCAAAATCAAAAGTTACATGTTTGGCGAAAAAATTGGCTGATAAGTTTGATAAGGCAAAAAAACATGATCACATAAGGGGCTCTTAATCTCGCTCATTCAACAAACTCCAAATAAGGTACCCAAAAAAACTTTTGACATTTTTTCCCCAAATTTTGTCAGTTTTATAGGCAATTCATTTTAAAATGTAAAAATCGTTTGTGACACACAAAATTGAACGTTTGGAACACGAATTTGTCAAATAAGCAAAGAGAATCGGTATTATACCGGGTGAGTGGCACCAAGAGAGTGCTTGATGGCATGGTTTGTAGCTTTATTAACTAGAATAAAGCTAGGCAGCCCTTCTTCATCCTTCACCCTGGTGCTGTGTTTCTCTTCTTTGTACCAGCGCTGTAAAATTTACCAAACTGCCACTCATCAACAAAAATCAAAATAAACAGATAACCCATAATTTCACATATTTGATTCTGAATATCACAATTTCACTTCTTTCATCAGCTTCATATAAGACTAGAAAAGATTGTACTACGTACATTAGACGTAAACAAAACTAGGTATTCTAATCGATCTAGATAATATGACAGGCTGGTCAAGTTTGCTATAGTTTATTGGCCTACCCAATTTATTTGGGCTGAGTATTAACTAACGGTATGCAATATAGGTTGATAAACCATACACGAACATGTCGAAGGGGGTTAGGTATTGAAAAAAATTACTTCACATTGGATCTTTAATGTGAGCAATTAATACAATCAATTTAAAACTCGATTAACTTGTTTTCAAAATACACAAACAAATACAAGTATCTTTTATAAGCATAAATTTTGGACGATAATATCAAAACATCCTTGAAATCCTTGATTTATAAAGGAAGTTCATTTAGAAACAAATGTTATACGGAGTATATAATAATCTTGTAGTCAAAAGGTAAAAGTTTATAATTCTAGTATCAGAAAGTCTTGAAATAGAGCGCATTGATCTTAAATAGAAATCATCCAATAAAACATTATAACATAATAATAGCAAATGAAATTTCGGTTGGGTGATCGGCTACCATCGGGAATTCGGGATTCAGATTTCAATTCTGTATTCCTACAATCCTACTCATTAGGTGCAAGTATGGACATATTTAATCCATAAATATTTTTTTTCAACTCTTTACTCCTAAATTGGTTGAATACTAATTTCATAATTCATCAATTCATTCTTCTGTATTAAATATGCACTACTTTCTTAACCATCACACCAATTTGTGATGTTTCAATCTTATAAACGGAACAAGTAGTTAAATACAAATACTACTAACTACCTGCTAAGAGTTAATGTGTGAGAGCGTACCTGATGATCATCGGAGGGTTTGGCTGGGGCCAGAATGACCTTTCCGCCACGCACGGTGAGCAAGAGGTCGGGATTCGCCCGGCAGTATACCCGATAAGTCTGTTTGTGATGGCGGGGATCGTGGACATCAACTACTAACGGCGGCGGATGGGGTCCGGAGTGGTGGTGGACCACTGGAGGTGGCGGCATGTCGGGGTGGTGATGGACCACTGGCGGTGGCGGAGGACCAGGGTGGTGGTGGACCACTGGTGGTGGCGGAGGACCGGGGTGGTGATGGACCATTGGGGGAGGCGGCGGACCAGGGTGGTGGTGGACCACTGGCGGTGGTGGAGGACCGGGGTGGTGGTGGACTATTGGCGGTGGTGGGACTGGGTGGGGGTGGTGCACTGGCGGATCGTGGTGGTGATGGCGGCGGGGGTCCATTGACTTTTTTTGGGCGTGGGAATAGAGGGAACGGGATAGGAAAGGAGGCAGGGGATCGTAGACGGACGACTTAGGAAATTGCAGGGGAAGCTGAAAACATTTTGTTCACCTACCAGTCCACACAATAGTCAATGGCATTAAACTATTGGATGGATAATTCTACTCCCTATCAGTGAGCACACTACTCCTGCTCTCAAAATGACGCAGTTTGTTCAATTTTTAAATAAAAAATTTGACGCGTAAACTTTTTAAAATTTGCTCTCAATTATATGCGTAAACGGTACACGCGTGTACAGTAATCATTTTTATTTTTTTATTGTTCCAGTAGTAGAATGGGGTAACTCACGTGTAAAGAAGAGTGTAACGCAAGTTAGTAAGAAATGTCAATGCAAGCAAGTCGAAATGTAATTTGTCTAAAACAATGATTTCAATGTAAATAATAAAAAAAGAAATATTGCTAAATAACTTTACCAAAATGGTGAATATGTTTTGTTTTTAATATTAAGACCATAAAAGGTTTTAAAAAATTATTTTTGTCCTCAAAACATCATTTTTTTTGCAAAAAAAATGATTTAAAAAAAAATGTTTCAATAAAAGGGGTTTATTTTGTGATGTGACTCATGTTATGGAAAATGTAACTTGGTTGATGGTAAATCTTACTTTGGTGTATGCAAAGTGTAACTTGTTGAGGCAAACCCTAAATGTAATCGGGGCATAAAAAGATGTAACTCACCCATAAGAATATGTAACTCATACATAATAATATGTAATTTCATATAATATCAAATGTAACTTGATGAGACAGTTCCAAATGTAACTCCCGCACATGAATGATGTAACTTGCGCACAAAAAAATGTAATTGCAAGTATTTTCGAATGTAACTTGAGCCAAGTCAGAATGTAATTTGTCCAGTACAGTATAATATAATATAATATAATATAATATAATATAATATAATATAATATAATATAATATAATATAATATAATATAATATAATATAATATAATATAATATAATATAATATAATATAATATAATATAATATAATATAATATAATATAATATAATATAATATAATATAATATAATATAATATAATATAATATAATATAATATAATATAATATAATATAATATAATATAATATAATATAATATAATATAATATAATATAATATAATATAATATAATATAATATAATATAATATAATATAATATAATATAATATAATATAATATAATATAATATATTAACACTGTGGGAGGGCACAGTGTTCCCGCCCAAATGCAGTGTGGTACTGGGTCGGGTCGGGTTACCATGGGTGCGGAAACGGGTCCTGACAAGCCCATTACTGCTCTTTAATGCTGGTCAGCAAGCAGGTAAGGTTGGATGGCTAGAAACGTATGGGGTGTTAAATAGTACAGAGCATTTAATGCCAAAGTGTAATTTTTTTAAAGGCAGATCACAAATGAATCCTTTTGCAGGCCTTGAGCCACAAAAAGCATTAAATTGTTCGTACTATGTCATGTAGAAGTTACTTTCTCTCACAATAAAAAAAACAGCCCTCCGATGTGATGATAAAAAATAAGAAGTAAATTGTACTTCATATCTTTGGGTGTAAATCTTGAGCCACCAAACCATTAATGCAGTGTACAATCTTCCTTAAACAATATTATTTTTGTACTACAAAATCTTAAAGTTGGGATTGAGTGGGATTTCTACCATACGTTTTCTACTCTTCATCCAATATAAATACCCAAGCAAGGGTTGTCCACAACACACTACAAACCAGCATTCAGCATACATTTGAAAAATCAGAGCAATGGCAGCAACAGGTTCATCGCAACCAGGAATGTGGTCCTTGATCAAGGATATTGATCACACAAAGACCACGTGGGCAATCAGGGTTCGGGTAGTTAGGGCTTATGAAGTTCCTCCACACTCCAAGGGAGGGGAGACTCTTGAAATGGTTTTGCATGATGTAGAGGTATAGTTTGTAAAAACCAACTGTTAGGTTGTCAATTGCTTAAAGTGTTTATATAACTGTTTATGTCTTGCTAGGGTGACCGGATTCATGCCATCATCAAGCGGCCGCAGATAGCCCTGTACAAGTCAATGATTACGGAGAACAAAGTTTATGCCATAAGAAACTTTTTGGTGCTTGATAATTACCAATCGGTGAAGACCACAAGTCATCCCTATCTAATTCAATTCATATCAAAAACCCTGCTCAGGGAGGATACAAGGACAGAACTGCCTATGATGGTCTATGATTTTCAGCCGTTTGACATGCTGCATGCCCAAAGAGTTATCAACGACAAAAGTCTAATTGGTGAGTTAGAATCAAATAGCATTCCTCACTACGTTGCTTACAGATACACAAATATTCTAACACAGTTTCTGTTGGTTCATAATTACGCAGACGTCATTGGGAAGGTACTGTCCAAGAGCCTTATTCAGACCCACATCAGTAACGGGAGGACTGATAGGCTAATGGAGCTGACTTTGACAGACCCGGAGTAAGTTTTACCACTTAAAATATTTTTGCAAAAGAAAAAACACGTATGCTTATGGACTGAAACTTTTTTAAACAGGGGTAACAGGTTGGGTGCCGTATTGTGGAACAAGTACATAAACCAGTATCTGGATTATGTTAATGCTAATGAAGGAGTGCCTGTCTATGTGATATTTCAGCTCTGTAGGCCTAAAAGATACCAAGGTTTGAGATTCTTAGCAGCATTCATTTTTGCAAATCAGAAAACACAAAGCTAAACTTAGTGTTGTTTTGAACACAGGGATCTTGACTGTGAATTCGTCTTTTGATGTATCAAAACTCATAATCAACGGGAACACTACTGAGTTTCTCGAGTACCAAAGCGAGTATGTGTAATTTATATTTTTAAATATACAATAAATCTCCCAGAACTAAAGTCTGACTACCATGGATTACACAGGTTTCCAGCAGATGGTGATGACACCATGACTCAAACCTGCAACACGCAATGCTCACAGGCGGAAGGGAGGGATGATATACTTGGTGGACATGCTGTCATCACCACCATGGAGGATTTGATGAAGGCAACTGAGGTGTGTTCTAAAGCTATTGATATTAGTTATCGTATTTTGAATAAATATGTCGACAGCTAACAAAAAATTTATAATTGAATAGGAAAATATTTATTGGGTGGTTGCGGAGATAGTTTCTATAGAAAACTTTCGGGAATGGTGCTACCTAAGCTGCCCAACGTGCCACAAAAAATTGCAGCCAGAAGACGAACGGTTTAGGTGTACAACTTGCAGCATGTCAATGGCAGAAGGAGTTTATCGGTTTATTACTTAACCTAATGTGCTTTTATGATTATTGGATGTTCACGTTTTTTTACTAAAAATTTTGTTACAATCTCATGATTTAGCTACAAGGTCAGTGTGTGTATTATGGACAACACTGGGCATGGAAACTTCATCATTTGGGACAGGGAATGCATCGATATTCTGGGAAAAACTTCCGCAAGTCTAAAAGCCGAGGTTGAGAAGGTAACACATTTATCCGTAGGCTGTTAACTTTTATCAGACCTTTAATTGACTTTGGGTCTAACCATATAACTTGGAAAACACAGAAAACTGGGGATCCAACTCGCTTTCCAGAAGACATTGAAAGCTTGGTTGACATAAAGGCAATTTTCAAAATTCAGCTAAGGAAGAAGAAAGCTGAGGAAAATGCCTACAATGATGGAATTACTCTAGGGGTGGTTAGCATCATAAGAGATCCGAATGTTCTCGCACTGTATGAGAAGAAGGAGCATTTGGAAACTATGGAGGGTGATGACAATACCCCAGAAAAGGTATTTAGAAAAATTATTAATTTATCTATTTGCAGCTTGAATATAAATAAATATGACAACTTAATGTAAAATATATTGGTTGCAGATTGGTTCAAATGCAAATTTGGGGGAAACGTCCAATGGAGAAAAATCAACTGTCACCAAGGGCAAGGGGAAACGAATTTCGGCAGAAAAGGAGGTAAATGATCAAAATTCTGAAATGCTTATAATATTTTCGTTAAAAATTTTAAAACATGGATTACAAAACAGCTTTTAATGCTAGGTTTCTGCCCCAATTGAGTTGCCCGATACACCCACGGAATGTACACAGAGGGAGGTTAATGTGGGTCTGAATGATGAGGTCAAAAGAAACTTGAATGATGAATTTTCAAGCAGTGGGAATGGAAAGAAGCTGAAGATCAAAATCAAGCAGGAACCGCTCTAATGCGGGTTCAGACCACGGATGACATTGCATGATATTTTGTGGGGAACTACTATGGTGTTTATTTTTACTTGAAAACTGTTTCAGTGGCAGCATGTATGCCTTCACTTATTGGGATAACTGAAAACTGTGTAACAGGGCACTAACCCCTACTTTATGGTATTGTGTGGGGTGCTATTTTGTTTATTCAATGTAATAGGGTAACAGACCATTAAACCCTACTTTTTGGCTATAGTGTGGTGTGCTATTTTGTTTAAACTATGTGTTAGAAGATGTTTATCTATATTGAGCAGGCTTGCAGATTTTCAGAGAAGGGTGTTGCGACACCATTTAGGGACGTTACTCCTAATATCTTTGTGATTTAAAAACAAAACTTTGTTTTCAGGCTAACGCAGTAATATATGTTTGCAGGATGATGAAAAAGTTGTGGGCTTAGGAAAATGCTACCAATGGTATAAAGAACTGGCCTAACTGCAAGAAGAAGGAATTCTTTCAAGGGCTGGTGTTTTGATAGTATTTACGCAGAAAAATGTAACTGCAAAAATTCTAAGCGGCATTTAAGACTAAGGGCAGATGTGTACTCTTAGGATTTAAAAAATGTACCGTGTGAATTTCAAAATCTAATACAAGTGTGTTAATTAAAAAAGGTGTGCAATCTTTTGTTGCCATTTAGTAATTGTTATTGTCAACAACTTGCATAATTTTAAATAATGAAGTGTTTAAATGTTTAAAGTCTACGAAGCTTTAGATAACATCGTGCAGATATGTACTTTTGCGATTTCAAAAATGTGATATTTAAATTTGAAAAATGTTTACAAGTGTATTAATATAAAAAAGATGAGCAATCTTTTGTTGCAATTTGGCAATTGTTATCAACAACTTGCATAATTTTAAATAACCTCAAGTTGGGAAAGAAGTTCATACCTTTGAGTATTTTTGCTTTATGGTGGGTTACCTGCAATCCCTATTTACTAAATAATATTACAAACCTTTAAATTTTACATAAATGGCAACCTACTAAGGTCCCAGAACTATTCCTATTACAATTTTCTAAATGGGGTTGTTAAACCTCTTCAACCATAAAATTACACCTGTCAAAACGTGTTTAGAACATTTATTATTATGCTGGACAATGAGTAGTTTTGGTTAAAAGTTGGAATAAGTTTTAATGAAAAATGTCCATAAGAAAAAAAAAATTGGTAGTATGTGTATTTTGACTGCAATGAAGCAATACTAAAATTTCAAATAAGAACTTTGAGTTGAACTTCATTTGTTTTGGGAAAAAAATTGTGTAAAAAATAATATCTGCCCAAAATGTCACTGAAGTATATGTATTTTGAAAATTCTTCAAAAATAGAACCATTCCTAACAAATAAATATCTGTACAGATGTCAAAAAATCAAATATAATACAAATGAAACCAACATGTTAAAACGATAATTGTTTTATTTGGTATGGAAAGGAATATTCGGTGTGGAATAAAAGATTTGAAAACTACATGGTTCCACATAGCATTTTGGGCATATGTATTTCGGCCATAATTTTGTAGCCAAAGTATTTGGGATTTCAAATACCTGAGTTTCCTAAAGGCCTTACCGTTGACATAAATAAATTAAATTACATTTATTTAATACACACCCAGAGGAATGCTGAATATAATAATTATAAATGTCTTCAACCAGTGAAAATGGACTTTGTTATTTTAAAAGGAAAAAAATTCCATATATTTTTTATATAGAACAATCTAATTTTGTAAAAAGAAGATATTCACAACACTTAATTAGTTTGTAAAGGTTAAATAAAATTATGCATACATCAGGTGTAGAGATTAAAAAAATAAAATCTTGAACTACTAAACCTGTTGATATTTTTTTATAAAAGACAGTATCAATGTCATTATTGTTATTTAAAAGTATCAATGTTATTTTTAAAAGCATTTAGATTTGGTAAACAGTAGACATTTTGAAAGAAATGATTAATTTTTTACATCTAAAAGTTTATACAGAGTATTTAGCAGAATCGAGATCAAAACCTGCCCAAGATATATGTGTACTTGAAGGCTGCGCGCAATTAATGTACGTACCAACTTCAAATGTTGGAGATTGTGTGGCTCGAGAGCATTAATGAGTAGAATAATTGATTTATACTTTGTACTTTAAAAACTCATTATTTCTTATGTTACATATATTTACTAAATAAATAAAGTACAAAATGTATTAAAAAATAAAATAATTACAAATAATCGAAAATTATTTCTGGAAATGAATTCAAACAATTTGAAAATCTATTCCAAAAACATTAATTATAACGCAAACACCAAAAAAAAAATTGGCACTATATTTATACACAACAAAAGAATTAAAATGTGTACAGTTTCAAACATTAATTTGAAGTATTTAGCAGAATCAAGATCAAAACCTGTCCAAGATACCTCTGTACCTGAAAGCTGAGCGCAATTAATGCAGGAAACAACTTCCAATGTTGGAGATTGTGTGGCTCAAGAGACCATTAATGTGTAGTAATATTATTTTAACACTGTACTTTAAAAATACAATTTTTTTTTGAGCAATCTTATAAATATTTTATAAATAAATAATGTATTTTTAAAAAAATCTTTGGGGCTAACTAAATAAATCTTTAAAAAACAATTAAATAATCAAAAATTATTTTTGGAAGTGTATTCTTATAATTTCAAAATAAATTTTGATAACAATTTAATCTGCACGTTTTAAAATTGGGCTTGTGCTTAAAGGTAATCATGACATGAAGAAACTGTTTATCAAGTACAATGGTTAGGAGGGTTGGAAACAGTGAAGTGGCAGGCATTTATGGTGCAGCACTTGAGTAACACTACACAAAAATATCAATACAACAAAGTCTATTCATTCTAGGATGAATGTAGGGCGGCTGGAATTAAATGAAGATGTACAACAAATATTATAAAATATTCCAGAGAGGTAATTTACTTATGGTCAATAGCCCAATTTGCAAAGTGAGTAGATATATAACTCACTCTGCATTTACTCAATGCTCAGAAGCACATTTATGAGCTCAACCAAAAATTCTAACTACTGAAACTGTGAGCAAGGAAGAAGAATATCTACGGCCAGTGCAGTTCACTGTGAAGAAAAGGTATGTTTCATAACTTACTATTGACAATGCTATATGAAACTGTGCAATGAACACTGTTACTAAATGTATTTCAGCTGATTACAACAGCTATAATCCTTTTATTTGTAAAAAAAATAATGCTATTTATTTGCTTTGCAATTAAAGATGAGAAGTTGTTCATGCAAAAATTGTTCTCGACCAAAATGCCATACATGTGGACACTATCCAGGACTCTCTTGGTTGGAACCATGCTCTTTGTGTAATGGCAATTTAAGTCACTTTTTCTGCATGAGGCCACTAAACAAAAATAGGCATACGGGCAAATACTTATGCAAAGATTGTCAAGAATGGTTGGATGCAGGCCCAATGATTCCTAGAAGATCAGTGCGCACAGTAACACCGAATCGGAAGTACTTCAATGAAAAACTTTGTGTGGGGATGAATTTTGGTTGGCTTAACTAGGGATGACCTTAGTAATGCATTTCTATAAATAAAATATGCATGTGTTTTTGCGAATATGTAAAAGGGCATAACTGATTTGTTTTTTTCTCATTCCTGCGTTCTGATTTGTCTATGTAATCCATGACATGCTCCCTAGACCATGAAATGCTTTATGAAATCTAATGTTCAATGTTGTATGCATATGCAGTTTTGAAGTTTAAGTGTTTCAGTTTGAATTGATGAATTTGCCAGATGTTTTAGTGTTTGTTGTAATGTGAAGTCATAAAAAAGTTCAGAAAACCAATTTGGATGCACATGTATACCATAAGAAATTACTCATTAGCTTAGATGAAGACAATTTAGGATCAATGGTGATCTGGAGTTTCCCATTATCAGGCCAACGGACTGCCAGACCACGCAGTTCCGAAGGCCACTTTGGTGGCTGGCAGGGCATCTGACAGTCCTATGGGGTGGGCCATGAAAACTAGAAATACCAAATTGAACCAGCCTGGAAATTTGTTTATGAAACTGAAAAAATGAAATATATCTTAGTATAAACAAAAAGTATTCCAGTCTTTCAGGAGCTGAATTAACACCCTGTCATTTTGGTTTAAAAGCAGTTCTTCGATGAAGAGGATCACCAAAAGCACAATAATCAACCGTAAAAGAAGTGTTGAAGACATGTCTAACAAAGGTAGTTAAATATGCATTTATGATTTTGCTGAAACATGCCTTACAAAAGCATGCTTAAAGAAGCGTGTTGTTTAAAATATTGACAAAATGGTGAGCTCAGCAGTCTTTCAAATTCTGGCACGCAGAACACAAAAAAACTGTTTGGGTGTCAAAATGTATTGAAAGTTTATTACAGGATGCAAAAATTTTGAAATACAATATACACTTAGTGTTTCGTATCCATAATTTTTTAAATGATTAAGAAACAGGTTTAGTCACATAGTCGGCAGGCTCATAACACAGGACTCAGAAACACTTTTTCTTAAATATCGTCAATGTTTTATAATAAGAAAACATACTTATAATATTGATGATAAAAAACACCAATTAATTATTTAGTAGAGAACAACTGTTTGTTGATGTAAAGAACTAAATTGGAAAACTTCATAAATGACAACGAGGCTTAAACCAAATTAAACTCCAAAAACTGGTATATCAAGCGCAAGTAGATTTCATAAAACAACAGATCTGTCCAGGCAACCACAGCTCCGAGATCCTTTTGTAATAATCACTCGAAGATTTTGTCATTAACAGATCACAATTAATTATGTAAAAACGGCCTTTCGAAGGGCATGACAACATCATGCAGCTGAGATGCAAGCCAAATAAACTATATAGATTGAAGAAATAATATCTGATCTGAGATCTATTAGCATCACATACAAGTATAACTTATAAAACATTACGAGTTCTGAGATCATTTATCATCACTCAGCCATCGTTGGATAGAGAGGAACAAAAAAATCATAAAAAGTCAGGGAAATAGCATTACGAAGAAAAAATGGAACATGTCTGAGTAGTTTAGATCGTTACGAGAGTTCTTAGCCATAGGGTTAGTCAAATAAGAACTGAATTGGAAAACTTCATAAATGACAACGAAGCATAACCAAATTTAACTCCAAAAATTGGTATATCATCCGTAAGTAAATTTAATAAAACAACAAACCTTTCATCCAAAAAA